CAATTTTGAGCTTCCATCTGTGAGTCACCAAGTGAACAACAGCACAAATAATTAGCATCATATATATATATATATAGGCACATAAAGCAGTATAAAAGCAAATAATAACTTAAATGTGATGCATGTAGAGTATATATATACATATATATTTATATATATATTCATGTAAGGTATTATTTCATTGATGTGTTACCAACCTGTTGCCATTTGTCTCTGGTTGCAACAAAACCACAATAGGTATAATAGAGGAGGATACCTGAGAACAATAATACATAACTATATATATATATATATTTGTACTTGCTCGCTTCAATATATTGTTTAAACTGATGTTCAGTTGGTACAATATATATGGTAATAATCAGGCATCCACCATGTGCATTTATATATATATATATATGTATATATATGTATATGTATGTGTGTACACTTAACACGTGCATGGAATGAAGAGTAGTAAAGCAACTTTTCAAGTTTCTTAGGAAGTTCCTGGAAGCAAAGAAATAGAGAGTTTTAATCAGCCTGCATGACGCAACCCACTGACGAATAAAGTTTCTAGATGCCATTTTCAACGTTGAAATATTATATACATTCATATATATATATATATATATATATACACATACACATACGTATACATATATATATATATATATACACACACATACATACACCAACATATGCTGCCTTTCTTCTTTTATCGAATTGACTTAACCAATTCTCCTTTAGCTTTTATAGATCTAATTAACCATTAGCTCACATGCATGCATCTGAATTATTTTCTAAAACGACCAGACTAATTGTGGTCCAGCCATGGGAGTATATATCTGTCTCTCTGTTTGTGTATGTATATATATATATATATATATATATATGCATATATATTCAGTTTTATATGCATGCAGCTTCTGAACTTAATTTTATACATGTATATATGTACATTTATCAATAAATATTAGATGAATTATTGAATTACATAATTAAACAATTTGATATGCGAATATCTTTTAAAATTAATTTAATATATATATATATATAATTTCTTTTTATTTATTATTATTATTATTTTAAAAGATATATACATGCATACACCCAATCCAGTTAATCCATAAATTATGTATATATATATAGGGTTTTATTTTCTTTTATTTTTGGTGTTAATATGTGTATCTTATCTTATCATATTTCAACAAAAAAACACACGTGTAGTATATGTCGAGAAACTAGGTGTATATATATATATATATATATATATATATATTTATATTAGGGGCATTCTTTAAAATTTTATAAATTATTTATAAATAATAACTTAATATTTAAATCAACCATGTATATATATATATATATATTCTCTATGAAAGAAAAAGATTCCCACCAAAATACCACTTTTCTTACAATGATATATAGACTTATATATGCAAGTATATATATATATTACATAAGGTTCATGAATGTTGTATTTTGGCTGAATTGGCATTTCCTGGAAATTCAATTTGAGGAAAATTTCCATGATTTGATGTAGCATTGAAGACGAACTAATGAATAGTACAAAGTAGTGGGAGAAAATTACACACCTAATATTTTCCATCATGATGTTAATTAATGAAAACAATACATATATACACACACACACACACACACACACATATACACACATATATAAACAATCAATATATATATATATGAATATGAATATAGCTTCCATGAAAATTTCTATGTAGAAAATTTAATTTCACTATGGGCTGTAAAATGTCCCTCTCATTAATGTTTTATTTGTATTTTGTAGTTTTCCAAATGTGAAAATATACATATATATATGTGATTTATGATAAATATAATTAGATTTATTGTTATAATTTAAACTAAATTTATACACATAATATATTTTTATTGAATTTTTATAATTATATAAAATATTATTTTATGTGAACAAAAATTATATAAAAACAAAAAAAAAAATGTGATTGTGAATATAAAAAATTATCATATTTTATTTTTTAATAAATAATATGAAAGATAAATAAGGTATAAGGATATAGATACGTAATTAAAGAGTTATATTATAAATAATACAAGAATTTATAATTGACTAAGAGATTATCAGATAATAATATTATCACATTAATTTTATTTTTACATTTAAAAACTATTTTGTATGTACATTTTGGTCAGGAGATGACGATACATGCTTGACCAACTTTTCGGAATTTTAAAAAAATATCTACTTATCGGAGTAACATGATACAGAAAAAGAGAAGCAAACATGAAATTCATTAGAAGACGCGTACAAAAGACATTGAAAGATAGATAAATTCGTATCTTGATAAAGATCTTTGAGACCGGAATTAAAAATACAAAAAGACAGAAGCATTCATGTGAATCTTTTGGTAATTTTTTTAAGAATTTAAAAATATTCTGATAATTCGAGTGTTTGAAAATAAATATATTCTTATATAAAGATGAAATACGGAAATTTTAAATTTTTTTATTCTAATATTATTTAATTAGATATTGTTAAATTGATTATTTTATAAGAATAAATAAGAAATTTTATGAAGTTTATTATAAAATTTGTAACAAAGTTGTTAAATTAATTTTATATGAAATTTTATATAGAATTATAAAAATATATTTTTTAATCAAAATTATTTATTAAAAATTAAAAAATAATTAAAATTAGATATAAATGTATAAATAATTTTTTATAAAAAAAAATTAAAAATTTATTCCTTTTGCTTTCATATTCAAAGAGAGAGAGCCCACGTGGACTTGAGTGCAGGAGAAATATTCTCCGTGTAAGGGAATAAAATATTTGAGGCTCTGAATTTGAAAATCCAAACGGTCTACAATTTCAAATTCGTCTCATCCTGACCGTTCATACGAACAAATCTAAACCGTTGATCTCCCTCCACTTGTTCTCTTTCTTCCCTCCAAGGCTCCATTTCAAAATTTTCTCTGCCATTTTCTCCCTCTCCAAACAAATACATCCTTCCTTTCCTTCAATCAACATCCCCCCGCTGTAGGTTCACACCCTCACTACAAAGTCTCCCATCAAATACCACTTGAAACCACGCGAAGAACAAACAAACACGCAGTAATTTTCTTGTTCGGAGCAAAATGCCATTTATTTCAGAGACGGCGAGTGCAATCAAGAGGCGGTTTGGGTTCCAGAATCCATCGATCTCAGAAACCTTGCCGTCCGTGTGTAGCTCTCCGGATCTACTCCCGAAGTCCGTTTCGAGGGATAACCTACGTCAGTCATTCGCTGCCACGTCGGGGATTCGGGCCATGGGTGATTTGAATGATGAAGAAGTCAGCAGCATCGAGTCGGCTCAGTCTGCTCGGTCTCAAAGCTTTGAGTTCGACGAAGATCCTTCCTTTTGGAAGGACCACAATGTGCAGGTACTGATTTTATTCTCTCTGGAAAATTACAAAAAATTTCCCATGTTAGCCAGTCAATCAGCCTTCTTTAGGGTTTAAAACGTTAATGGTGATTCTGCTTTTAATTTCATTTTAACCTATATTATTTTGTGTTAAAGTAGCAAAAATGTGGGTATTAACTTTAAATGAAGCCGCTGGTTTTTATGTTTCTTGATTAACCAGGAAAGTTGAACATCAAAGTTCATCAGAAGAGCGAGCTTGGATTGGCGTTTTCTTTCTCAAATCATCTCATTTTAGTTTAAAGTTGACATACAAGTGTTTAATAATCTAGTTTAGGTTTATAAAGCAGTGAACTTGTTAGCTGAAGTGATTATTGAAAATAAATTGCTAGTAACATTTCCTTTTTCTCCAGCTTATGGAAAATAAGTTCTTTGACCCAATTTTCTTTTACAATTATAGTGATTTAACATTATAAAAATAAGCCATAAATCACATTATACTTTTTCAAAAGCAAATTCTAGCTGACTGTACTTTGCAAAATAAGTTGATTGGGTCATTAACTAGCCAAAATTTGATTGAATAGTCGGTCCCCTATGCCAAAGGCAAAGAGCAAAAGTTTATTTTTTTATGTTATATTTAATTGGTCCCCTCTCCTGCAAGTCGGATGATGAAATTAGCAGGTCTGGGATGTAAACTAATTTTTGATGGGGTAATATATTATCAAAAGTTTATGATGGTAGAAAAAAAAAATTGTTTATATTAGTTTTTAACAACATAGTGGAAGAACTAATTTTTTTTAATTAATTTGGAATTGATATGGTTGATGAAATTGGTCCACATTGATCAATTAATGTCAGAGGCTGAGCAACTTGGTATAAAATTTGTCTTGATAAGGCAAAAATAGATGTCAGGTAACTGAAAATTAAATTGTTTGAGAAATTTATGACACCCCAAAATTTTAATAGTGCTGAACATGATTTTACTCCAAATATTTTGAGTAGTAGTTTTTTGTTTTCCTTAACTGGAAGATATTCAGAACAAATTTGCTGAATATCATGTCTTGAGTTAATGGTGACGAATGACTAATTGAAATCAATTTCTGCCTTTTCTATACTGGTGCTAAATGTAGGTTATCATTAGAATTCGTCCTCTCAGTGGTACAGAAATATCTCTGCAAGGTTACAGCAAGTGTGTTAAGCAAGAGAGTTGCCAGACAATCACTTGGACTGGTCATCCAGAGTCCCGTTTTACCTTCGATCTTGTGGCTGATGAGAATGTCAGCCAGGTACTTCTTTATGACAACTGTTAGTCGTTTCATCTCTCTTAAGTTGTTTGTGCTTATGTAATTGATGTCCAAAATATTTGCTACAGGAGAAGTTGTTTATAGTGGCTGGATTGCCTATGGTGGAGAATTGTGTGGCTGGGTACAACAGTTGCATGTTTGCCTACGGCCAAGTAAGCATCTATCTAAGATCTCTTTTGTTGAGTTATGAATATTTTTACTCTATAGAGAATTTCCATTGCTGATATATACTGATAATATAACAAATTATTAGGCAATGGAAGTATTTTCTTTTTCCAAATTGCATCTGGGTCTGTTTATAATTTGGAAACTTGAAGTCTTGAACTGTTTGTATACAGACTGGAAGTGGGAAAACTCATACAATGCTTGGAGATATTGAGGGAGGCACCAGAAGACACAGTGTCAACTGTGGAATGACGCCTAGGGTCTTTGAGCATCTTTTCTCAAGAATACAGAAGGTATGATATTCATCCTCCCCAGCTAAAAGAAAAGTAAAAAGGAAAAATAGAAGATATAGTTCCTGGCCTTTATCCCCATTATCCTATGGCTTCCTTCCGTTGTTCAACAAAGGCTTCATTGTTCCCTCTCTATGTATTCTCCTTCTCTCTTAAAAATTATTTCTTTTTCCTATAATAAAAGAAATGCTCCATTCAAATTTATAGAATTGATTACAAAGTGCCTGTGGTTCAACCTTGGTGTGGCAGGAAAAAGAGGCTCGTAAAGACGAAAAACTAAGGTTTACTTGTAAATGCTCATTTCTGGAGATCTACAATGAACAGATTCTTGATCTTTTGGATCCTTCATCTAGTAATTTACAGGTAGGTATTGGTTGCTTGTCGAAGGCTTTGTTTTATCAATTGAAGCGGACAACATTCTGTAGTTTCATAAAAGTTGTTTATGCATTATAAAGATATGAGAAGTATCAGAATCAATTTCCGTTTGATGTTTATATGCTACTGAGGATCATTTTGTTCATGGATCTTATGGGGAAGCGTTCTCCTTAACCACTGAAACTTGCAATGCATATGGTGTTTGCAGTTAAGAGAAGACATGAAGAAAGGGGTTTATGTTGAGAACCTCAAGGAGATAGAAGTTACATGCGCTCGGGATGTGATTCAACAACTTGTGCAAGTATGTACTGCTAGAACTGGACTCCAATTTCAGTTGGCAGTGTTCATTTCCATTTTTACGTAGTTAGCATAATCATATATATAGACATTTGGGGAATGTACAGTTTGAGCTGCTGCTTAGTTTTATTGGTCAATTACATTTCTTCTTTGAGACAAAAACTATAATTTCCACTTATTTAAAGATGGAATGGTACAAGAAAGCACAGATGAAGAGACTGGAAAGAGAGAAAATTAACTACCAATTATTCTAAATGTATTGAGAAAAAGCATCAGCATCATGTTATGCCAGTTACTTTTGGAAGGGTTTAGATATAATTCATGTGAAATGAGTATTGGAAGTCTTTCATTTCGAGGCATTCTTCTCATTATTGTTTAATATCTCACTATTCTGTACTTAGAATTGATAGAGACTTTGTATTCCATTGCATATTTCTGTGAAAGTGGTGCTTTTAGTTTGTATTTATTGAACATTGGGAGTCAATTCAGGGTGCTGCAAACAGAAAAGTAGCTGCCACTAATATGAATCGTGCAAGTAGCCGTTCTCACAGTGTGTTTACATGCATAATTGAAAGTAAGGTACGTAAAGCTAATTTTTGTTTTTTCCTTTAGAAAAAAAAATCAACTTCCATTCCCTTATTTAACTTGGAGCACTTTGTTATTATTTTTTGAAAAAATTCATGTTGTAATTAGTCTAGACCAAAAATACTCATGGAATTTTTGTTATCAGTGGGAATCCCAAGGAGTAACTCATCACCGGTTTGCTCGTCTGAATCTTGTTGACTTAGCTGGATCTGAGAGGTAGATAAATATTCAGAAACAAATGGAATTGCAGAACAATTTAAGAGGTTTTAGTACTAGACACTTCTCGTTAACTATTTTGTTAATCTGTCTAACCACAGGCAAAAGAGTTCTGGTGCTGAAGGTGAACGACTAAAAGAAGCTACTAATATTAATAAATCCCTTTCAACATTGGGGTGTGTCATTTAAATCCTCATTCTTATCTATTAATTGATTTATATTGTTTCTCTACTAATCTCTGAATTATCACTTCTTGATCAACAAATTTTTTGTTTGCAGGCTTGTGATAATGAACCTTGTAAATATTTCAAATGGGAAGTCACTGCATGTTCCTTACAGGGATTCAAAGCTCACCTTTTTGCTTCAGGTAGATTATAACTTCAGTTCAAAGGTTATTAAAGAAGCAAAATATTATTACTTGATAGAATCTTTTTATCCTATGGAGGTTTTATATGGAACAAGGAGTTTTAGTGCTATAAATTTCTATCAAGTTGGGAATATTCATGTCTGATCTCTCAATAAATGGCTTTTGAATATAAAAAGATGAATATACTCTTATATTTAATTTGTTATTAAATTTATTTGCCATGTAATTTGTGTATTATCACTACTCTTTGTTTTTGTATCATTAGTACTCTGCAACCCATGCCTTGTAAGATTGGAGTTTTACATCTTAGTAGCTTATAAATTATAAATAACATATTCATGTAATTAATAAAACCACCTTTAAGTAGCACATTGATTATCTTTGCTGTTGTATGCTTTCAGGATTCTTTGGGAGGGAATTCGAAGACAATAATAATTGCAAACATCAGTCCATCTATTTGGTCTGTTAATTTTTTTGTTTTTTGTTTTTCTGTCTTCTTGTATATTTTTTTTAACAATAGCTTGAAAGAATTTTAATTTTCCTATATTATGGTTTTCAATGCATTAGGTCAATTTTATAGAAGATTGACCGCTATTTGGCTTTTAAATATTTCTGACTGTTGTATTGTCTATTTCTCTAAATCTTTTGTCGTTTGCTATGCTCCTTGCAGTTGTTCATTGGAGACTCTAAGCACACTGAAGTTTGCACAGCGTGCTAAGTTTATCAAGAATAATGTAAGAAAACTTAGTATAAAAGGAGCTTTATGATAGTTGACTCTGACCTTTGTGCTGGTCATACTTGGCTTAAATATTTAAGTATTTTAAGGCTTTTTATTATTTAATAACACTTCCCGAATACTTATCGGAAAACTGTAATTTCATTATTCTACAGGCAATTGTTAATGAAGATGCATCTGGGGATGTTATTGCCATGCGGATGCAAATTCAAGAGCTCAAGGTATTATTGCTCATGTTTCTATCTACTGTTTGTAAAATTTTGACCTTCTGAATGAGATGGACAAGATAAGATGCTCAATGAATGACAGAAAAAAATGAGAAAAAACTTTCAACGTGATAATTTTTAATAACTCTTTGTTCTACTACTTATCTGTACTTCTCTGTTGTTTTAATAATTCATGCAGATATCATTTATTCATAGAACGTGATTCAACACCAGTTTCTAGTTTAAATAAACATTTATTGAAACGAGAAATAATAATTTGTCTTTTTTCTCTTCTTAAGAATATATTTCTCATTTAAATAAAAGAAGAGATAAAAAAAATTGTTCTTCTATGTCACGTAAGGCATTATCCAATATCAGCTACATATAATTATCCTTCTAATGGTACTAAAAAATCTATTCTCAAGTATGGCTCTTCTTAGCTGAGATTTAATGTTCTTTTGATATCTTATGCATTAACTCTCAATTTTGTAAATGATTTATTACAGAAAGAAGTATCCCGACTACGAGGTTTAGTCAATGGTGGAGCCGGAACTTTAGATAATGAGACATTGGGCGCGAGCCTTCCTGGGTGCCCAGAATCTTTTAACTGGACAGGACTTAATGGCTCATTTAGTCCACTTACATCTGATAGAAAGATGTCTCAGGTGTGCATCCTTCTTACTAAAGCTTAAGAAATATCTATTTCAAACTTGATGCTAAGCGATTTCTTTAAAACACTGTCATGCCTATTGCAGAAGAAAGACAATGATGTTGCTCTTGTTGGGGCCTTTAGGAGGGTGAAGGAGAAAGAAATTGCTCTAGAGGCTTTAGCTGCTGAAAATAAGGCTGCCATGCAGTTGGTACGTGCAAAATGGATGTCTTATGTTTTGGTTCAACTGGTTTGTTGCCTTGTAGAGGCTCTGTTGACATTTTTATCCATACTGGGAGTTGAAAAAGAAAAGAAAATATCAAAAGATCTTTCCATTATAGATTGGACATTGATTTGGAACCATCGCATAAATTTTGTTTGTGTAAGCTAAAGCATGATGTTTATGATGTTTTCTTAGATATTCATGGATTACGAATATTGCAAAATAAGTTCTTGTTAAGAAATTAAATTTTGAGCTGAACCAGGCAAAGCAAAGAGAAGATGAAATACAAGGCTTAAAAATGAGGCTAAGATTCCGAGAAGCTGGAATTAAGAGACTTGAGTCTGTTGCTGCTGGAAAATTATCTGCGGAGACGCATTTACTAAAGGAAAAGGAAGAATACTTAAAGGATATTGAAATACTCCGGGTACAGGTTGATCGGAACCAAGAAGTTACTAGATTTGCCATGGAGAATTTGCAACTAAAAGAGGAGCTTAGAAGGCATGTTCTTTTAAATTTATTGCTTGAAATGGCATTTATCACTTCTTGTTTGTTTCTTTCAAATTTGGTTTTCTTGGTTGGTCTGATAGTATAAATTAGCCTTAAATTATAACATGCCATCCTTTGCCAAAGATCTGTTGCAAAAATGAAGTTACCTTATTTCAGTTTTGGAATATTTTTTGCCTCACTCAATTTTACCCCTTATATTTTAAGGAGTTAGCTGTTTACATCATTTGCTATCGTAACACACAAACTATTATTCTCTCATGCGGGTGCTATCTGATTTGATCCACAGATTAAAGTCATTTTATGAGGAAGGTGAGCGGGAGATGATGAATGAACAGATTAAAGTGTTGCAGAATAAGGTGAACTTTTTTTTGGGTAATTTCTTAACAATAAGGCATAGTCAGATATCCTTTCGATCTCCTACTTAATTAGGCTTCTGGTTAAATTTGCAGTTGCTGGAGGCACTTGACTGGAAACTTATGCATGAATCAGATCCTTTCATGGTACAGGTCTTTCACAAGATTTTTCATGAATTATTTTGACAGTGAGCTGAATCTACAATTTTCTATAACGTTGATTTCAAATTGTTTTTATCCTACAGAAGGACAATTCAAATTTTGTGAACGAAGACGATGCTGATGGTAATATACTGCTCTCTAAGGTAAGCTCTCCCTTTATGCGTGGTGTTTTCTTCTACTTGATATTTTTCTTTCGTTATAATGAACTAAGGAGAACACCTTTTACCATTTTTTTGCAATAGTGCATTTATTACAACTCAATTGAGCATGTGTTCAACTTAATAGAACTCCCTGCTTAAGTTCAAATGAGATTTAGTTTTCAATCACGTGATACTATGAGCTGCTAATTGTGAACAAAAATATTAAATGTCTTTTTGTTATGATGGTCAATAAATAATCTTTGTATTTTGTGATTGTTATAATGTAGAATACATTTTTTATACAGTTAATTTTTTAATATAGGTCTCGTTTTTTTATTTATAATCTTCATTTTCTATGCTTAATCCATGCTTGTGGGGCTTGTGTATGACAAATGTGTTAGTATAGAAAATCGATTAAGTCATTTTTATTAGTTTAAAAGCTTTTGAAACAGCTGTTTACAGAATTCTTTTAGCAGTAATATGTGGTAGAATGATGTGTGGTGGTAGAATAGAATTGTAAAAGATTAGTTTATAAGGTCATTACAAACTGGTACCTACTTAGAAAAGGAAATTCTACTCAATTGTGATTGTACAGTGTTAATAAATAAAAGTTGGGAATATTCTTTTTGCTCTCACTCTTCAATATTTCTTTTATAGCATCATTTTAACACCTTTCTGAAATAAAAATTCTATATGGGAGAGAAAAGTGAGAAACTTCATATAAGATAATGTAAGTTAAACGTCAAAACTTACGTAAATCTATTAATTCTTATTACTTGTGTGATATTTTAGTTCCATATCAGAAAGATGTATAATTTTTGAATTTCATATAAAATCTTAAGTCACACGCTAATAATTTGAGTTTGAGTTTTTGACAACCGATAGTTTGAATATGAGTTTTAATAAAACACAATCTTAAAGTCATCAAGCTGACATGTGCTTTGATATCATTTGAACTACCTCAAATCCAAAATCTACTAACTCAACAATCTTTTGGACCCAAATCACTGCCTCTCAAAACTCAAACTCTAATTTACTGGGATGTCACAACTTGTCTTTGTCAAAAAAAAAAAAGTTCTGTTACTTGTCGCTCAGGTTTTTTTGTGAGGTTAGCATTGATAAAATCTGTTGCAAATTCAAGTCCTAATTGCCAGCTAATCATTAGTTAGATTTTGATAATTCATTACATAACGTGAGTAAGAAGATAAGAAAGCAGGGGACTGTCATTGCTCAGACATTTATGTGTGATGATATCTTTTTAGTTAAATTATCATTTGTTCTAGTAGTCAGATCTCACATTGATCAATGAGTTTTTGCTCTACCCTTTTATTCTTGCATCCACATGGCAAGTAGAGGTGATTTTACTCTGATACTAAATGTTCTCTTTACCTCGTAAAAGCAATATTTACAATTCTGAACAATGCAGGAGGAAGGAACCTTATGGCGTTCTTCAATTAATGAGGAGAATGAGTTCCTCCGCATGCAGGTAAAGCTATAGTTAGGTGAATTCCTTATTGTTTCATTTAATTCACTTTATAAATTATATTGATCAAATAGAAGTTTCTTTGTCTGTTTTTTCTTCCACAGGCTATTCAGAACAAAGCTGAAATGGACACACTCCAGAAGACGCTAAGCATCTGCCTAGAAGAGAAAGAAAACTTGGAGAAGTAATAATTTTGAGCTTTTTTCCTTTTACATATATTTTGGAACCTGAAATAGAAGAAATTTGGCTTACTACTCAAACCCATATTCTTGGTCCACCACAATGCTTGCTCATTTGAAATCGATGAAAATAAAATATATGTCCCACTTGAATTATTACCTTCGCCCTTAATCACAACATACAGAACTAAAAACATTGAAGATTATATCAGAGCTAAACTAATCATATTGAATTTTTTTACACTGATAAAAGATATTGGAAGGAGAGAGTATGTACGTTATGGAGTTCTCCTACCCTGTTCTTAACTTGAGCTTGTGCTACCTAAATTTGTTATAGTTGTCTCTTCTTTTTTCTTTTTTTTCCTTTTAAGCCATACGTGATCTTAGAGATTGTTCTTTGTTTTCTTTTATACTCTGCATTTGTATCCTTGACACTTTCAGTTTCTTAATTAACTTATATAGTAATGTTATTTATGACATATTTAATCTTTCAATATCTAAGTAGAAATATTGGGATTTTCAGGCGTGTTAATGATTTCATTAAGGAACTTGAAGAAGAAAAATCTTCCAAAGATACAAAAGAAGAAATACAAGAGGTCAAATTTCAGAATTTGTCCACTGATGTGCCAACTATAAACCTTAATGACCAAATGGAGCTCAAAAGGATGGTTGATGCCATTGCTGCAGCAAGTCAAAAAGAAGCCGAAGCTCATGAGACAGCAATTAAGTTGGTCAAAGAGAATGATGAGCTGCGGTTGAAGCTAAAAGTCTTACTCGAGGATAATAATAAACTTATTGAATTGTATGAAAAAGCAGCTGCAGAAAACAACTACAAGGGCTCAACTAGCACAGAAAATGCTTTGGGAAATAATACTAGGAATGACAATAGCGATAATGTAGATGAAGCTGCAGAGAAAAAGGAGGTTGATATGAAGAAAGTTGTTGAGAACCTAGAACATCAGCTTTTGGATCTACATGAAGAGAATGAAAAATTAATGGGTTTATATGAAAGAGCCATGCAGGAGAGAGATGAATTCAAAAGAATGGTCTCTTCCAGTGGACTGAATGTAGCTGAGAGTAGAGAACCTGATTTCCCAGAAAAGCTTGTTGAAGTTGATGATGGGGAATGTGGAAGATCAGATGCATCTCCAGTTTATATTGAAGTCAAAGATTCAATAGAGGAAACTTTTCTCCCTGGATTGAACGTGGAGGATGAAAATGACTGCACAAATCCTAAACCAGAGAGATCTGTTGTGCTTGGACAGACATCTTTAAGGTCGAATGAGCAGGATAACTCCTACCTATGGCTTGGGAATAGTCAAGTAGACAAGGAAAATCTGATGGATTGTCAAGAAATGATTTCAGATGAAAATGCTCAGCTATCAGAATCCACTTTTTCTGGTGATGCAAAGACATCTGTTGAAGAATCTGGTATCTCTAACACAGTTTTAAATGCTGGTTTGACTTTCTGCCTAAAAGATCGACAAGAAGATGAAGGAAATCATATTGGTGCCTTTTCTGATATGGAAGTAGAGCTATTGAATCCTACTACTTTCAAGATACCAGAAGATCTAAATTTGGTTACAATGAAACTGGGAAAAGCAGAAGAAAAGCTTTCAGATACTGCCAAAACCGTTACTGTATTTGGTTCACTTGAGAGAGCACTCTTTGAAATTGATGAGCTTTCAAAAACACTTGAAGTGCTGGAAGATGGTGTACAGGAGAAGCAACGAGAGCTTGCATCCCATAAACAACTGTGTGAAGAAATTAAAGCAAGAAAGGTTCTTATTGACAAGAAGTTAGCAGCACTGAGATATTCTCTCTCACAGATTTCTTCCTCGGTAACTTATTATGGACAAAGAGAAGTGCGGGCAAGGGCAAGGGTAAATGCTTCATTGGGTTACTTTGACAAAAAGAAAGCTGATCTGGCTTCTCTGAACTTGAACAAAAGCGAAATCGAGGCTGCACAGAGGAAGACACAGCAGTCTGAGTTTGAATTGAGAAACAATCTTGTGCTTTTGAAATCAAAGCTTGATGAGGAAAACCAGAGACAGGAGAATGACAAGGTTCTGGTCACTATAGATAACATTGAGAAAAGAGATACTTCTGAAAGAAATTGGCAGTTAAGTAAAGCTACCGACTTATTGAAGTCTGAGGAAGAGAAAACCAAGCTGCAGAGTGAGGTCAAGCAGTGCAGAGAAAAGCTTGCTGCAGTCAGAGAAGAGTTTGGGGTTCTGGATAAGAAATCTGCAAAGATAGAAAAAGACATTCAAATTGTGCTGTTGGAAATACAGAATGGATCAAAGACATTAGCGGAGATGGAGAATGCACTACTGGGAGTAATCCAAGAGAAAGAAAGTCTGTTTGAAATCAGAGAAAGAGGAACAAGTGAAATTGAAAGCATGATTCTTGAGTATCAGCAGCAAGTTTTTGAGGCAGATTTTAAAGAAGCAGAACTGAAGATACTGGAGCAAGTATTACAATTGGAAGCGAGAAAAATAGAAGAGTTAAAGCAGACAAGGGCTGAAGCCACCAAGAAGGCAACAGAGTTGGTAGTAGAAACTAGGCATGATGCCACATGCTCCTTATCAGAAAAAATTGGAAAAGAGCTAGAGACTCTTCATGCCTCTCTTCTCGAAGCGAAAATGTTGCTAGAGCAAGGCACTTTGAATGGCAGTTAACTCTTCTTTTTAACTATCATTCTGTACATTTCCACAAAAATGGAGTCTGAGATTCTCTTTGGATAAGGATTGTATTTGGTTCGGTTAATGGTCATTCAACTTTGAGTAAAAGTGCAATTTTTTGAATGAAAATTTATGCATTTAATAAATTATGTGATATATATATTAATTATAATACAACCTCTTAACAAAAACACACAAAACTGCATAGTATTCAAACTCATAATTTATTAACAGTATTATATGCAGGTGTTTGTGTGTATAGCATTGGTAGAAGACTGGAGATATGGACCATTCACATTCCTACAGAAATGTTCCATTGTGGCTAAGCTACAACCACTTTTCTTTCAAGTAGATAATCCTTCTGTGTTTTCGAAGGAAAAAAGACAAATTTCCAGTAATATATCAATTGGGGATTAAAGAAAACAACTTCCTTGTTGTTCCAATTGTAGAATAGAAAAATGTCTGGTTGCATTTGCCTTCTTCTAAAACTTACTAAAACTTTGTATTTGATGTAGAACATGAAGATAAATGAATGATACGGCACGAACACAATGCAACATTATCTGATCCGATTTATTTATTTAGTTTTTCAGTCATGTATGACAAATCATTGCATACTAAATGGACAAAATTTTGAAACATAACTCGACAGTATTATATATATATATATGTGTATTGATCATATTGGTCAAGGTCAGAGCAATGGAGCAGGCACATTGACAAACAAAAAAGAAGTCCTAGAAAAAAGTATTTTCAAGCTAGATTGAAGAAGAAACTCGTCTATATAAAGCTCCACAGCAATATTGGAGTCACCATAGTCTCTCAATCCAAAAATCCATTAGACTAAGCTAAAGAGTCTTTGGTTTCTAGTAGAATGGCATTCAAAATCCAGTGCCTGGTATTGATGTTGGTTTTGGCAGCTTGGGCTGGTCAGGCAACATGTCGCAGCCTCCAAGATTCATCGATGTATGAAGAGCATGAACAATGGATGGCTCATTCTGGTCGGGTTTATAAGGACGCCAATGAGAAGGAGAAGCGGTTCCAGATATTCAAGGAGAATGCTGCCCGTATAAAATTATTTAACAATGCCAATGACAAGCCCTACAAGCTGGGCATCAATCAATTTGCTGATCTTACCAATGAGGAGTTCAAGACTTCAAGAAATAGATTCAAGGCTCACATGTGCTCCCCAAAGACCACTTCTTTCAAGTATGAGAACTTTACTGCAGTACCATCCTCCATGGACTGGACAAAGAAGGGGGCTGTTACACCTGTTAAGGACCAAGGCCAATGCGGTGAGTCACAACTAATCTGTCATGAATATTTTAGTTTCGGCACAAGCTCGAGCATATTTCCAGACTCATTTATCATACCGGGTCGAGCTCAAGATTGAGCCTACTAATGTGTTATTGGAACAGAGCTCAAGTATAGCAGTATTCAGACTTCACTCTTTACTTGTTTTTAACTCTACTCCTGACAATTTAATCAACAAACATGCTTCACATTTGCATCCAAAGTTAGCTTGAATACTGAAGTATTCTGACTAGGCTCTTGGCTTGTCTTCACCTCTAATGCCAAAATTTTAATTGACATATATGCCTCACATTAGCATCTAATCTTAATGCTTAGATTTGATTGACAATAATTAACAACAAATATTGCTGCAGGATGTTGTTGGGCATTCTCAGCTGTGGCGGCCATGGAAGGGATCACTAAGCTTACCACTGGAAAACTAATCTCCTTATCGGAGCAAGAATTGGTGGACTGCGACACCAAGGGGGAGGATCAAGGCTGTAATGGTGGTCTCATGGACAATGCATTTCAGTTCATTAAACAGAACAAGGGCCTCACAACTGAGACCAATTACCCCTACAAAGGAGTAGATGGCTCATGCAACACAAAGCAGGCAGCCAACCATGCAGCCAAGATAACTAGCTATGAAGACGTACCAGCCAACAGTGAGAAGGCGCTGAAAAAGGCGGTTGCTAACCAGCCAGTTTCAGTTGCCATTGATGCTGGTGGTTTCGAATTCCAGTTTTACTCAGGTGGTGTTTTCACTGGACCTTGTGGGACTCAACTGGATCATGGAGTTACTGCAGTTGGCTATGGAGTGGCTGATGATGGAAACAACTATTGGTTGATCAAGAACTCTTGGGGAGATCAATGGGGTGAGCAAGGCTACATCAGGATGCAGAGGGATGTTGATGCAAAAGAAGGGCTCTGTGGCATAGCAATGGAAGCTTCTTATCCAACTGCATGAACTTCATTAAGCGCCTATTAAATCTTTTCAGCTGTCTTTGATTATGTGTCCTGCTTATTTAGTAGCTAGAAATCTTCCCAGGAAGAAGACTGTAAAGCTATACATGAATGTTATATATGAAGAATAGATTCTCAAATCTATGTCAAAATAGAAAGAAAAAAATGACACATCTCATTTATGATAACTCAAAATTGTTACTATCTAATGAAGGAGGAAAGAACTCATATTCCAAGAACTTCTCATGATTCCTTGCATTTGCATTGCATATTTCATTGAATCAAATAGAAATTATTTATGAACATTATATACTACAATGCAACCGCTCCATCTATCAAAAAGAATAATACTATAAAAAGACACACTCTACATGCAAAAATATTCACATATCAGTCAAAAGTTCTCCTAAGTTTTACAAGAATAAAGACGACGACTTTTAATAAAAAAATTTAAAGTCTGGAACCAAGCTGTTGAGAACCGGTTGCAACTAAGAGAAAATGAGCAGGTAAACACGGGATCTGCAAGGGAGAATGGAATCGATTGCAGGAAATTGAAATGTTTGAGGCTAACCATATATATTCACTGCTAATCCCTGGATGTAACTTCGGAGAACTCCATAAATTTTTTCACATAAATATTTGTTCGGTTGAATCTCAACCTATTTATATAAAACTTAATAGGGCCAGTGGTTTCTTACCGACACCCTTATATAAATAGCACTAATACAAGAATACAAGAGTCTAAAACAAAGAATGAAGAAAGAAATAATACAATTAGAAACAGCAAAAAGTCGAGTCTTAATTTAACTCTGATAAAATATATAGTTTATGACAAAGTTCGCAAAACATAATTTATTACTAACAGTGTGATACATATATATATGTACATATTTATGTATGTATACCATTGGTAGAAGACTGGAGGCCTGGACCATCACATGTCCTTATTGGCGTTTCAAGTAGGCAATCCTTCTGTATTTCAAAACAAAAAAGACAAATTTGCAGTAATATATGAATTGGGGATTAAACAAATCAACTTCCTTCTTGTTCCAATTGTAGGAGAGAGAAATGTCTGGTTGCATTTGTCTTCTTCTAAACCTTAAAAATTTGTATTTGATTTGGAACATGAAGATAAATAAATGATAAGGCATGGACACAATGCAACATTATCTGACCCGATTTATTTATTAGTTTTTCCGCCATGCATAATTAATCATTGCATACCCAAATGGACAAAATTTGAAGCATAACTCAACAGTATTATATATATGTATTGATCATATTGGTCAAGATCAGAGCAATTGAACAGGCACGTCAACAAACAAAGAATAAGTCCTTATCAAAACAAAGTATTCAAGCAAGATGGAAGAAACTCATCTATATAAAGCTCCACAGCAATGTTGGAGTCATCATAGTCTCTCAATCAAATAATCCATTAGACTAAGCTAAAAAAAATCTTCAGTTTCTAGTAGAATGGCATTCACAAACCAGTGCCTGGCATTGATGTTAGTTTTGGCAGCATGGGCTGGTCAAGCAACATGCCGCAGCCTCCAAGATGCAACGATGTATGAGGAGCACGAACAATGGAGGGCTCGCTATGGTCGGGTTTATAAGAACACCAATGAGAAGGAGAAGCGGTTCCAGATATTCAAGGAGAATGTTGCACGTATAAAATCATTTAACGATGCCAATGACAATCCCTACAAGCTGGGCATCAATCAATTTGCTGATCTCACCAATGAAGAGTTCAAGACTTCAAGAAATAGATTCAAGGCTCACATGTGCTCCCCAAAAACCCCTTCTTTCAAATATGAAAATTTTACTGCAGTACCATCCTCCACGGACTGGAGAAAAAAGGGAGCAGTTACACCTGTTAAGGACCAAGGCCAATGCGGTGAGTCACAACTAGTCTGTTACGAATAGTTCAGTCTCAGCTCAACCTCGAGCCTATTTCCAGACTCGTTTATCCTATTGAGTCAAGCTCAAGATTGAGCCTACTAATTTATTACTGGAACTGAGCTCTAATATAGTAGTATTTGCTCAAATCAAGCTTGAATATGAAGTGTCCTGACTTGGCTCTTTGCTTGTTTTCACCTCTAATCCCGACAATTTAATCAACATATATGCTTCACATTAGCATCCAAATTTGGCTCGAATACTGAAGTATTATGACTAGGCTCTCAGCTTGTTTCCACCTCCAATCCCAAAATTTTAATCAACATATATGCATCACATTAGTATAAATTTGCTGCTCAGTTTTGATCTACTTAATAATTAACAACAAATATTATTGCAGGATGTTGTTGGGCATTCTCAGCAGTGGCGGCCATGGAGGGGATCACTAAGCTTACCACTGGAAAATTAACCTCCTTGTCGGAGCAAGAACTGGTGGACTGCGACACCATGGGGGAGGATCAAGGCTGTAATGGGGGTCTAATGGACAATGCATTCCAGTTCATTAAACAAAACAAGGGCCTCACAACTGAGAACAATTACCCCTACAAAGGAGTAGATGGCTCATGCAACACAAAGAAGGCAGCCGATGATGCAGCAAAGATAACTGGCTATGAAGACGTACCAGCCAACAGCGAGAAGGCCCTGAAAAAGGCGGTCGCTAACCAGCCAGTTTCAGTTGCCATCGATGCTGGTGGTTACGAATTCCAGTTTTACTCAGGTGGTGTTTTCACTGGGCCTTGTGGAACTGAGCTGGACCATGGGGTTACTGCAGTGGGATATGGAGTGGCTGATGATGGAGCCCACTATTGGTTGATCAAGAACTCCTGGGGAGACCAATGGGGTGAGCAAGGCTACATCAGGATGCAGAGAGATATTGATGCAAAAGAAGGGCTCTGCGGCATAGCAATGGAAGCCTCTTATCCAACTGCATGAACTTCATTAAGCCCCTATTAAATTTGGGGCCATTATAATCAGCATCTTTTCAGCTTTCTCGATTCTGTGTCCTGGTTACTTAGTAGCAAGAAATCTTCTCTGGACCAGGAATGTAAAGATACATATGAATGTTATATATGAAGAATAGATTGTCAAATCTATGTTAAAATAGAAAGAACAAAACGACTTATCTCATTTATGATAATTCAAAATATTTACTATCTACTGAAGAAGGAAAGAGCTGATAGTCCAAGAACTTCTCATGAATCATTGCATTTTTCACTGAATCAAATAGAAGATATTTATAGTCATCACATATTCTTGTAGGTAGCAACTTGGTTATTTAGAGAAGTGAAAAAATATTCAGTTGCAAGAGTCTAATGCAGAAGCAAAATACAAAGGGATATGCAAGGTGTGCCTGCATAAATTGTCTAACATTACTATGTATGATAATAAGGGCAATAATCAGTATTGCACATAACCCTATTCAAAAACATGATAGGATTAAAGATATCGAAATTGATACACATTTTATCAAAGATAGACAATGAATTTTGCATATCAACTTGGTAATATTTCCACCAAAGGCCTCAACAATAGACAAATCCATGGATTAATTTGCAAGATGTGCATGAGAGACATCTATTCACTCTCTTTAACAGGGAGTATTGATTATATATATATATAGTAATTTTTGTAATCATAACTCATTCCATGTATAATTCACTAGTATATATATGGTAAATTCATATGAAATTAATACAAAATAATAAGTAATCTTATCTTTGTAATATTTAATTGATTAAGTTTCGTAAGTTTGTTTTCTTTATTTATTTAATTTTCGAATAACACACTACAAATGTATTTGATAAAATTCAAGACTAGAACTCGAGTTATCAAATCTATAATTAAAACATCATCGAGGGTAGCAACTAAAAAGACTTTTTTTTTATTTCATGTCAATATGGAAGATGTAAAAAACTACAGGTGTTTGGACTTCGATTTAGTAAGAAAAAGAATAAGCACTTTTATTTTTATTTTTTACAACTATTTATTATTTTTATTCATATTAACTTACTTTTTAAATATTATTTTTTATTTTTAAATAAACACATTCCTTTTAAGGAAATTCTAAACACCCTCTAAAATGGTAGCATTGGAGAGGGATTAATATATATTATATGAAGTGGTCGGCGGGTCAGGAAGCTCTAACATTGCCAATCAATCAACTAGTTTATCACGTTTTATTTGATGTAGAACTCTGGTATATGCATATATATATATATATATCCTTCAACATAAACAAATGATACGGCCGCAACTTATTAGTTTTTATGTAAAAGAATTTAATAACTGAAAGACAAAAGATGAAAGCCACAGATATATTTAGTTTTTTAGTCACACATGCCAGCCCAAAAAGAACAAATCTGAAGCATAACTTACGAACAGTATTATAGATACATACATATATTAATCATATTAGTCAAAATCAGAGCAGTAAAATAGGCACGTAGACAAAGAAGGAAGAACTCCCTGTCAAACAATAAGACCCTTCAAGCAACCTGTAGGAGAAATTAGTGTATATAAAGCTCCATAGCAATGTTGGAGTCATCATTGAAATAATCCATTAGACTAATTGAAACTTTAGTTTTTAGCAGAATGGCATTCACAACCCAGTGCCTGGTATTGATGTTGGTTTTGGCAGCTTGGGCTGGTCAGGCAACATGTCGCAACCTCCAAGATGCAACAACGTATGAGGAGCATGAACAATGGATGGCTCGTTATGGGCGGGTTTATAAGGACTCCAACGAGAAGGAGAAGCGGTTCCAGATATTCAAGGAGAATGTTGCACGTATAAAATCATTTAACAATGCCAATGATAAGCCCTACAAGCTGGGCATCAATCAATTTGCTGATCTTACCAATGAAGAGTTCAAGACTTCAAGAAATAGATTCAAGGCTCACATGTGCTCCCCAAAGACCACTTCTTTCAAGTATGAGAACTTTACTGCAGTACCATCCTCCATGGACTGGACAAAGAAGGGGGCTGTCACACCTGTTAAGGACCAAGGCCAATGCGGTGAGTCCCACCTACAAATGCCACTGAGCTGAGACTCTATGTGAATAGTTCAAGCCAATTAGACTTAAGTTTAACTGAATTTCGAGCTGAGTTTGAGCCTATTTGCAGACTCGTTGACCATATTAAACTTGGGCTCAAGCATGCTACATGTCATTGAAGACATGTTGGAGCCCAATAATACTGGCTCAAATCGAGCTCAAATATTCAGGCATTTTTGGTTCTTTTTTTCAACACCTATTGCCTAACTTTTTTATTAATATATATCCTTCACATTACAACCTAACCTCTGTCCTTAATAATATAATACTCTAATCATCTTTCTATTAACAATAAATATAATTGCAGGATGTTGTTGGGCATTCTCAGCCGTGGCAGCTATGGAAGGGATCAATAAGCTAACAACTGGAAAGCTACTCTCCTTATCAGAGCAAGAGTTGGTAGATTGTGATACAAAGGGTGAGGATCAAGGCTGTAACGGCGGTCTAATGGATAATGCATTTCAGTTCATTAAACAGAACAAGGGCCTCACAACTGAGACCAATTACCCCTACAAAGGAGTAGATGGCTCATGCAACACAAAGGAAGCAGCCAACCATGCAGCTAAGATAACTGGCTACGAAGATGTACCAGCCAACAGTGAGAAGGCGCTGAAAAAGGCGGTTGCTAACCAGCCAGTTTCAGTTGCTATTGATGCTGGTGGTTACGAATTCCAGTTTTACTCAGGTGGTGTTTTCACTGGGCCTTGTGGGACTGAGCTGGACCATGGGGTTACTGCTGTGGGGTATGGAGTGGCTGATAATGGAACCCACTATTGGTTGATCAAGAACTCTTGGGGAGATCAATGGGGTGAACAAGGCTACATTAGGATGCAGAGAGATATTGATGCAAAAGAAGGGCTCTGCGGCATAGCAATGGAAGCCTCTTACCCAACTGCATAAACTTCACTATCAATGGCAAGGCCACCTAATAGAATTACATATAATATAATATGCATCTTTCTACTTTCTTCTGTACTGGATCATGGTTACAGGAACTAGAAATCTTTGGGCCTCATTAAAACTATATATGGATATATACGGTTGTAAATGATCAATATCTATAGATCATGGTACTGTATATTTTACAGCGCTGTACCAAAATCAATCAAAACTGGTTTTACTGTTTGGAAATAAGAACATACCTTGACCAAATACATTAATCTGACGCAAGCAACAGCTAATCATGCATCGACTCTCCAACAAGGTTTGAGCCTTTAGTGCTCTCCTAATAAGAGAAATGAAAAAAAAAGTGAGCTTATTTTTGTTGTGCCTTGAATTATGTGCTAGGTGAAAAATATCAATCATTGAAAGAAAATAGAATCTCAAAACGCTAATAAATAACAAGATTATGTTTGCTCCAAATTCTAATTCCAAAAAATAAAAGTAAAAGAAAAAGTAACAAATATTAACATAAAAATAATGTTCAAATTCTACATTTAATTCATGTTACATGAACTTGTGATTCTTATCTAATTAAGGAAGGAAAAAAACTCAATTCTACAGGACTCAAGTAAGAAAAAAATTGGTTCAACAGAATCAAAAATGGAAATCATGTTCAATTCTACAATCAATTATAGAAGTGGAACGTCCAAAATTTCCTTAAACAGTTATTTCAAAAAAGAAAGAGAGCTAACTTAAACAGGAAACCTGCTTCCTTTCTGACAATAATGCATTCAAGTGGAACGTCCAAAATTTCCTTCTAGCGAATCTTTAGCATTCAAAAACAATGAGGACCTCAAAGGAAATACCAAAGTAATCTCCACTGAAACTATGTATTAACCAAAATAAATGCCGCAATATGTTCCTCTCAATTTTGAATCTAATATCACAACTGTGTATAAACAACTGTTACACTTTACGAGCCAAGGTTCTTTGTTTAGTTGCATGCCGAACTACTTTTTCTTCTACAGGGAGGCCCTTTCGCCGTCTTACAGCATCAATCAGCTTTCTAGCTGTATTAGGAAGCACGCTAGCACCGTCTCCAAACTCTTCAATCTCTTCTTCTGTTTTTGGCACAAAGAAAGGATCCTCAGCTAGTGCCTCCCAATGGCTAAGTACCAGGAGAGCACTGGCACCACCTGAAGTCCCTTTTCTCAACTCATCAGCAAAACCAAAACTTTCAGAAACTGGCACATAAGCATGAACTGTGAAAAGTGGAGAGCCTTCATTCATTTCCTCCTTAAGGACACGGGCTCTCCTTCGAGCAAGCACAGCATACATTGGACCTAAATATTCTGTAGGGGTGTTTAACTCACAGAAATACATTGCCTCCACAAGTCGGGGTTTCTTCTGAAGAACAGCTGCTCTACATGCATCCTTGACTGCTGACATAACTTGTCCCGTGAACATACCATACTGCTCAGATTGTTGGCTGGGTTCAGATTCATTCGACAGTCTATCCAACGGAGAAATACATGCCTCAACAATAAAAGCCAACCCCCACATTGGCTCATCACACAAGGGGCCAGCTGCTGTAGCTAGTTGAAATCCAGATACCACACTGCTTTCAAGACTCTGTGCCTCCGTGCACAATGATGGTTTTCCTTCAAAAGATGTCTCAGAAACCACATCGTGATCATCAGAATCGACCACAAAGCCCAACCTCTCAGATACATGGGAAGAACCCTGTATAAGAACGGAGCAATCTGTGTTATTACTTCCACTATCTGGAGTGAAGAGGATATTAGGGCCAACTTGCCTAGGACCAAATGCCCAGGTCCTTCTAAGAAACTCCAGCCACTTATCCTTACATTTCTCAACTCGATCCTTGTCACTTTCATTAACAGAAAAAATGTCGTGGTCCAATGCATCAAGTATCCTTTTCTTGAATGCTTCAATTGGATTCTCATTATCCACCATGCTTGATCTTTGGGTTTCCATGGTCTTAACGCTTTGCCCAGGCTTCCCTTCCAACAATACTTCCAAGCAATTCAGCACTTTCATCAAGCACCTTTGTTAGTGTAGAAGGTAGTTTCATGACTTGCACACGAACAACACATCTTCCATTTGGAGTCATCTTCTCAACATACTCTGAGCTCCGACTTACTGATTTTAAACTATCTAATGGATTAAATTCCTCACCTTCAATGGTCTCTTTATAGGACACAAGAGGTGGAGAAACTTCCAGACTTACCTTTGCAAATCTTTCTTTCAAGTCCTTTATGCATCTTTCTAGGTGGACTTCTCCAGCAGCTGCCAGTACATGTTCCCCTCTAGAAGATACAGTTACTTCTACAAATGGATCTGCCCGGTTCAGAAGTC